CCCTTCCTTCCCTTTGTCGAAGCTTGTACAGTAGTGCGTTTTTTTTTCAATGTACTTTCGTTTAAGGCCGTAGATTTTAATTTTATAATTTATTTTACTGTATTATATAATTTACCTTTGGTGCAGTTTCATTGGCGACAATAAACGTGCAATGCCTACTACTTGCTTGCTTTTTTATTTATTAACCCCCATTCTATTCTTTCACTCCTTCTCTCTAACTAATTCTCCTCCTGGTGGAATTTTTCTTTCATGGATTTTCGGGGAACTATCTTTTTTTTATTATTATTATTATTATTATTATTATTTTCAGTGTTTTTTTTTTTTTTTGTCTCTCGATCGATACTTCTTCTTAAACGTTAAATGTCTAACGGTTAATCTCGTCGAGAGGATCTGACCGATCAAATTATCGTGTTGTAAAATCGTCGTTAATTCTAATATTAATCGAAATCTCGTAAATTTGGAAATCGTTCTTACGCATGCATGTAAGAATTCGACCCCTTCTCTCACCTCGTACAGCTGAGGATTTGTATTAATAACGATCTCTTAACAGTTACACCACTCGAAAGTGCGTATCTCGTCAGTTTGCGCTTGGCATAAGAACAAATATGAAACGTCGAGGATGTTTGCGAAAAAAAATGATTACTCAGAGTAACCTTTCACTCGCTCGATCGATATTATCCAAGCGCGAACTCGATCGATATTATCCCCCCTTATCGACACTCTGCTAACCGTTTCCTCCCCTTTTTTGTCTCTGAACGCAGCCCAAGCTAAACGGAAGAAGAAGCAGCCCAGGCCGCTGTACAGTATCGAGTACTCGCAGCCGGAGCCAGCGATCCACGACGACAGCGTGTCCCCAAAGCCGATGACTCCTCGAAGGGTGAAGAGGAGGTCGGTGATCTCGCGGGACGGGACGAGGAGGTCGAGCAGAAGGAGCTCGGTGAGGCAGTCGCGCAGGAAGAACCCCGTGAACAGGATCATGGACCACCAGGAGAGCCTGTACGCGAACACAACGGCCAGCAATCTGACGAATCAGAACGTGAACTCGTTGTCGCAAGGCACCCTAAACTACGACCGTATTTCGATGAGTTGGGACAGGGACAGGAACTCGAACTGGCAGCCGGAGGCCGTGAACATGGCCGTGTCGACCCCGACCTTGTGGAATCACCATCACCACCACCACCATCATCATCACAATAATCATCCCTCGAACCAGGATTCGTCGGCCAACAATTACTCGAACTCGAGCGGCAACTGCACGGCGTCTGGCCAGAGTTATCCCAACTGGGATGCGAACAGCTCGACCAGGAATCTCACCGACAATTGGCAGCCGAGCGAGTTGAGCCCGATGCAGTGGCAAGGGCAGAGCAACCCCACCTTCCAGCAGACAAGCACCCAGAGCTTGAACTCTGGCGAGGATTTGGACGAGATTTACAATAACAGGCCGGCGAGCGCCAGGTCGAGTTACAGCAATTATCACGGGGTGAGGGCGACGCCCCAGGTCCCCAACAGGAGCGATATCGTCAGGCAGAGCCAGAGACAGTTCGTTCTCAGCGGGCCTCCCGCTTATCAGGACACCGTGATATGAAGAGATCGAGGGGATATTCGGGGAGAGACCTGCTCGATCTTTTCTTCGGATCGAGTTATAGTCGTTGGAGATTCGTTGTTGTTTCTCATTTTTCAAGTAGCTTTTTTTAACCCTTTCGCTACGGGCGTCTTCCCCACCAAAAATGTGTACGGTGCTCGAGAAAGATCGTCAGCGGCCGTGTTCATGCCTCTCATGCTGCAATCCGAGTTGCTTTGACGGTTTATTATAAAAAAAAAAAAACTGATGATAAAAACAAAATATCGATAATACGTTTCTAGAGAATGATAATCCAATCATATCATACATGGTATCTCAATTACATCTTATGCAGAGCGACTATAATAAGTAGAGCAATTATACCTCTTGGCATCATCTTATGCAGAGCTATTATAGTCATCCATAGTACCTCAATGACATCTGGAGAACGATTATAGCAAGCTGAGCGACTATAGTGGTCCATATTACTTTAGTGGCATCTTGTGCAAAGTCGCTTGTAATATCTCAATGGCATCTTATGCAGAGCAACTATAGTAAGTAGAGCGATTATAGTCGCTCGTAATACCTCTTGGCATCATCTTATGCAGAGCGACTATAGTTGGTCATAGCACCTCGATGACATCTTATGCAAAGCGACTATAGTCACTCTTAATACTTTAATGGCATCTTGA